GGGAAGACCAGCATCCTTTCTCAGATACTTTACCTTAAAACAGGAAACTGGTCTGATTCACAGAGAATGCGGTAATGGGGGCACTGGCTTCTTTTTCAGGCTGATCTTCCTTGCGGGGGTGATGTCCCAGATCGCCCCTGTTGGGAGAATACAGCCTTTGCCCCATGTCTCCCCCAGGCCTGCAGCTGGCCAGGCCCAGAACGTGAACGGGGTCCTGGGGGGATCAGCGGAGTTCTCCGGGAGTGTCAGGCCCCGGCAAAAGTGAGAGAGATCGAGTGGAGCTACTGGGCAGGCCTGGGAAGCGCTCTCCTGGTGGCCTCCTTTCGGGACGGCAGATTTGAATGGCCGAACGCTGCCCACCGCTCTCAGCGCTTCTTATTCCTGCACGGCCAGCAACCCCACCGAGCACAAGATGGTTTCCTTCGATTTGCACAGATCTGCCAGAGAGGAGGTGGGGAGACCAGCCCCCCTTTTGATTCACCATTTCTTGGGGAGGAAAGCCTTGCTGGGGGGGATGGACGTGCCCTGGTTTGTCTGAACTTCCAAAAGGCAGAACGGCGCCTCATCCTGCCCAGATGGCCTGAGCCGGCTCCAGAGCTCCCTCAGTGACACAGCAGAGGCATTTTCCGCCTCCGGGCTGGAATCGGGGACTTGCAGTCGAGCAACCCCTGGGGAATGGCGAAGCCTCCTGTGGCCCCTCTTCTGACTCTACCTGCAAAGCTGGAGGTTTGCTCCGTCACGATGGGCACGCCCTGTTTGCTCTTCTCTGGCGGACTCCTGCAGCTGGGGCCTCCTTCTCCAAGCGCAGCTACCCGATTCTGCCCTTCCTCCTCGAGCCACTGGCCCTCGGGATGGCCTTCTGGTGCCAGCGCGTCAACGCCAAGAATTCGGCACGGGCCGGTGAGCCGAAGTCTCTCTGCTCCCTGAGGCTCCTCGGCAAGGCTGCTAACGCAGGGCGCTGCTGGCGAGCTGTAGCGGCTCTTTGGGCCGAAAGAGCCGGCACGTGGATTCAGGCACCCCCCGGGAAAAGGGCTGAGAGGTCCTTGGCGTGTTCCGGGCTGCTCTTGTTGGCAGAGGAGCAGACAAGGTGGGCTGGTAACCCCAGGGCCTCCCCTCCTTCCTCTGCCCCCTTTGCAGACCCCCGCCAACCCTGAAGGCGGAGGAGAGACCCTCTGATTCCCGAGATGCAGAGACCCCTTGGAGACCTCCTGCACCAGAGAACAGCCAGGCGAGAGCCTCCCACCGTGGCCAGCTCAGGCCACTTCAGGAATCGCCTGCTGGCCAGACCAGGCTCAAGTCAGCCTTTGGATGTCTCTGAAGCCGCCCCACCCCCCCGCATGCTGCGAGGCTGGCTGCCGCCCAGCAGGCCCCCTGAAGAGGATAGACTGCTTCCCAGCAAAGAGGCTCCTTCTGTCCTCCTGCTTGATGTTCATTTACTGCATGCATTTCTATGCTCCGTTTAATCACACAGCCCTCACAGAGGAGGTGGCAAAAAAAAAGTTAAAACATAAAATATTAAGAATGCATGCCCCAAAAGGATAAAAGCAATTTGAAGCTGCAAAACTGTCATAGGTTTAAATTTGTGTTCTCCTAAGGCAGTTTACACTGAAAACACCAAATACAATAAAACAGGGTTGTTGTTTTTTTAGAAAAATACATTACCATAATAGAATAATTACAATAAAAAAATAAAATGTCATCCGAAGTTGGAAATATGACAGAGTTTTTCATTTTGTTTTGTAAAACACAGAATAGCACACGGATTAAGTAGAAACTGGAAAAAACGATCTCTAAAAATCCAGCCTCTTTTAAAAACACCTCTCCGCTCGAGTTTATTAATCATCTTGAAGCTGTGAAAGGACTGAGGTCTACCCAGAGGCCCATTTGCTCAGACCTTCCTCTGAGACTGGGAAGCCTTGGGACTTTTTGGCGGAGCAGCAAGGGGACTTTCCTTCTTAACCCTCCATAGGGGAACCGGAAGCCACCAGTCTAGGCCAGGGTTTCTCAGCCTTGGCAACTTTAAGACGTGTGGGCTTCAACTCCCAGAATTCCCCAG